TATTTAAAAAAAAATTTTTTTTTTCAACGTTTTTATTTATTTTTGGGACAGAGAGAGACAGAGCATGAATGGGGGAGGGGCAGAGAGAGAGGGAGACACAGAATCAGAAACAGGCTCCAGGCTCCAAGCCATCAGCCCAGAGCCTGACGCAGGGCTCGAACTCACGGACCTCGAGATCGTGACCTGGCTGAAGTCGGATGCTTAACCGACTGCGCCACCCAGGCGCCCCCATGCCTCACCATTTAATCAGAATCTTTGGAGAGGGACTCGAATGTCACTGTTTTTATTTTTATTATTATATTTTTTATTTGAGTGCAGTTGATACACAACTGCATTACATTAGTAACAGGTGTATTAGTGACAACATTAGTTACATTAGTTTCAGGTGTATTACAGTGATTCAACAAGTTTATACATTATGCTATTCTTTTTTTTAATATAATTTATTGTCAAATTGGCTTCCATACGATACCCAGTGCTCATCCTAACAAGGGCCCTCCTCAATGCCCATCACCCACTTTCCCCTCTCCCCCAACCCCCATCAACCCTCAGTTTGTTCTCAGTCTCTAAGAGTCTCTTATGGTTTACCTCCCTCCCTCTGTGTAACTTTCCCCCCCCCTTCCCCTCCTCCCTGAGGAGTGTTCACTTAGCATAACACTCTCGGGTTCCATCCACGTTGCTACAAAAGGCCATATTTCATTCTTTCTCATTGCCACGTAGTACTCCATTGTGTATATAAGCCACAATTTCTTTATCCATTCATCAGTTGATGGACATTTAGGCTCTTTCCATAATGTGGCTATTGTTGAGAGTGCTGCTATAAACATTGGGGTACGAGTGCCCCTATGCATCAGCCCTCCTGTATCCCTTGGGTAAATTCCTAGCAGTGCTACTGCTGGGTCATAGGGTAGGTCTATTTTTAATTTTTTGAGGAACCTCCACACTGTTTTCCAGAGCGGCTGTACCAGTTTGTGTTCCCACCAACAGTGCAAGAGGGTTCCCGTCTCTCCACATCCTCGCCAGCATCTATACATTATGCTCTTCTCACTAGAACTGTAGATACCATCCTCCACCACACGATGTTATTACAATATCATTATGTTCCTTATGCTGTGCCTTTTATTCCCATGACTTGTTAATTCCATCAACCATCAGTATTTTTAAAGGGTCCCAAGGTAATTCTACTGTGTAGCCAGAGTTAAAAACCACTGCTCTGGGCACTTGCAACTAGTACATGTATGAAAGTCCCAACGATATTCTGAAGGTAGGACTAGCTAGCCAAACAGAGCAAGCATGGAGCCCTTTAGGCCCCCAAATGTCAGTCTCCAGTGTCTTTATAATCCTGAACTCTACCAATTTTTTTTTTTTTTTTAAATTTTTTTTTTTTTAACGTTTATTTATTTTTGGGACAGAGAGAGACAGAGCATGAACGGGGGAGGGGCAGAGAGAGAGGGAGACACAGAATCGGAAACAGGCTCCAGGCTCTGAGCCATCAGCCCAGAGCCTGACGCGGGGCTCGAACTCACGGACCGCGAGATCGTGACCTGGCTGAAGTCGGACGCTTAACCGACTGCGCCACCCAGGCGCCCCTCTACCAATTTTTTAAAAAATGAAACTTACACATTTAAAAATGATATGTAAATGTTTTTGTCATAAGATTTAGTAATTGCTAAGGACCTAATTTCTGGGATGTTGAAAATACTTGGCATTTTAAAATAAAATGGTTACATTATTTTTCAAAATGTAGTGTATAGAATCTAAATACCATGAAATTTATAACATCACCAGCCATTATAAAAAGAACAACTTCTTCAATAGTAAGAAGTTTTATAGTATTCATCTTTCTCTTTGAATTTGTTTTCATTTTCTTCCCTTATAGATTTTCATCTTAATTTATTATATTTTGTGCTTGAAAGGGCTTCAGTGATCAACATATCATAATAAAAACACATGGATACAATTAAATTTTAACTCAAGAATTTTTTCCTTCCTGGACTAAGCTGTCATTGCAATTACACTAAAATTAATAAAAACATCATAAGCATATTGCACATATTTTTTTAGAAAAGTATTAAACAGAAGATAAAATTTTATTATAATTGTTATTTTTTCATAAGATCGTTGGGAATTTAAAACATTTATTTCATATGTATCTACATATATTCATGTATATTTATTAACTAAAATGAGACAGGATTGAGGACTGATTTTCTTCCTATTTAGCCTTCTAATAGACAAAATTTCAGAGAAAACTAACTCATATAAATGAATGGGAATCAAAGGAGTTTTGTTATAGGAATGTCATTCAATTCTTTGAACTCCTTCTCAGTTATGTGCCAAAAATCACATAGTGATCTATCCTCGAAATTAATTTTGATCATCTTTCTCTTTCATCTGACAACTTGATTCCATCCTCTTTCAGTGATTTGAAAACAATAAATTAGAAACCACCTGACCTGTAAAAGTACTTTATTTACTTGTTCAATACCAATTCTAATATGCAGAATTTTTTTTTATCTGTCATCCACTGTCTTTACATTGCCAGCCTCCATCAAAGAATGTGCTATTATTAAGTGTGCTATGGCTGAGAGCAGGGGGGTCTCGTGGGTGCTGGCACAGAGCCCCTAGCTCAGAAGGGTCCCACACTAGGTTTAATGCTCTGCTGTGAATGTCTTGAAAATCTTAATAATTTTGGAAAAAGTGGCCCCACATTTTCGTTTGCACAGGTCTCCACAAATTATGTCCCTGGTCCTGGAGGAGAAGTCTGCTTTTCTTTTGTGATAGAAGAACATTGCAAGAGTGGTGACGGAAAGGAGTGGAGACCTTCAGCAGGCACATTCCCAGGCAAACCCATTTTAGAAAAGAGTACAAGAGAAATGTAAAGATCTGGAGGTAGATTTCCTTAACATCCTTTGGAAAATCTTCTCATACCTCCAAGGGTACACGTGGCCCAGATTGAAGACCACTGCTCCCGTCGTCCAGCAGGCACGTGGCATGACCACTGGACCTGATGGATTTCACACTTCAACTCCTGAAAGAGACTGTGCAATATTCCCAATCCACATTACCTGATTTGAGCATTACTCACTTCCCCATTGACAAGTTATTAGTAATGTCTTATAAGCTACCCCAGTAGACCCCCTGGTGCATATTTTGGTAAGGATATTTTAAAGTGAGTAACCACCTCTAAAAGTGGGGCATGGAGTCTTGATTAGAGAACTTCAAAATTCTGTGTAACTATGTTACAGATTGAGATGGATTTGTGCCCAATCATCTCATTGTTTTTATACTATTTCAAATTGCCACACACACAATATTAGAGCAGCCAACAGATGTCCACTATATCAAGCTCAGGCTTTCTGACTCCAAATGTAATGCTATTTTTTTTTTAATAGGCTGTGCTTGTGATCCAGAGAGAATATGGCTCCCTAGGAGAGAGAGCATAAAGGAAGAGGGGCTGTGTCATAGTCCCAGATGGGACTACATAACAGACGCGGGGCGTCTGCCCAGTTCTGAGAAGCTTCTTAATTCACAGCAACCTGGTTTTCATTCCAGGATTTGTATGTTGTTTGTACCATATCAAAAATAAGTTATTTATTTGATTAATTCTGCTCTAGATAAAAATATCATGTACTAGAGTATTTTTTTTCTTTGAATACATTTGAACAAATACCTAAAAACATTTTAGGAGAAATGTAGGACATTAGAGACAAAACGAAGCAACTACACTCTCGGCAATAGAAGAGAAAAAGAAGTAATGTCCCTGGTAGTGGTGAGAAAAAGTGAAACAACTAGGTTACACTGGTTCCCAGTGACAGAAAGAGAATCACAATGAAAGCTATTGACATTTAAGCAGGAATTGAAATGAATGCCACCTGTACGTTCTTGTACCTAATGCTTACTAAAGACGACCCTACTTGAAATAAGATGAGTTGGGTTTTAATCTTAGATCCACAATTTTATATGTCACTGAACTTCTCTAAGACATAATTTTTGCTTCTATAAAGTAGTTCTAAATACTACCTTCCTGGTGTCTCTTATGGGAGTGTCGTAAATTCACAGGAGAAAATACTCCACTATTTTGCTACTAAACATGCAACTCGTAGGAGTTTCTCAAGCTGCTAATTCAAAAATATCATATGTAAATACAAATATATATATTAATATATAATTTTCTAATTATTAAAATAAACTTATATATTATTTTAAGCTCATACTACATATACAGAAAGTTAAATCTAGTTAATTATAAACAAATACCATCATCCTTTTAAAGATTAAATTCAGTCAATAAAAAAAATCCCCTCACCCTTCACCTTCTTTCCAGAATAACGTGAAATATCCAAGAAACTTTTTTTTTTTGGTAACACTGAATCTCAATTCTTATTTATTTATTTATTTACTTACTTATTTATTCATTTGTTCATTCATTCATTCGTTTGAGAGAGAGAGCTCAGGTGAGCAAGGGGCAAAGAGAAAGGGAGAGAGAGGGCAAAGTGAGGGGTGGGGCTCAAGCTCACAAACCCTGAGACTGAGACCTCAGCAGAAGTCAGATGCCTAGCCAACTGAGCCACCCAGATGCCCCTCCAAGAGACTTTTATTTCATTTAAGAATTTTGTTTGGAGTACACATACTGTATTGAAGTGCACTTTGAGTCTATGTCTGTGTATGTATATACATGGTTAAATGATCACTGATAATGTCATTTAACTGCTCAACCAAAGTATAGGACCGTATCTCCCTTTACATCCTATATCTTCCTCCATTTATAATATAGTGTCTTTAAATATCCCCTCTATATACATTTATAACTGCATCAGACAGTGCTATGACTTTTGCTTAAACAGTCAAACATAGTTTCAAAAATTCAAGAGGAGAAGGAAAGCTTATTTTATTTACCCATGGTTTTACATGCCACGTTCTTTCTTCCTTTTTGATGTTCCAAGTTTCTTTCTTTTTGTTTAGGGAACTTCATTAGACATTCTTTTAGGTCAGGGTAGTTCTTTGGTGACAAATTCTCCTAGCTTTCCTTCATCTGAGAATGACTCGATTTCCCCTTCACTCTTGAAAGATATTTTTACTGGATACAGGATTCTGGCTGGACAATGTTGTCTTGTTCAACCCTTAAAAAAATGTCACACCCCCTCCTCCTGACCTCTCGGGTTTCATTTGAAAAATCTGCTCTCATTCTAATTGTTTGACCTATAGATAAGGCATTTCTCTCCTTCTCTCCCTCCCTCCCAAACACTCCCACCTTCTGCTTTCAAAATTTTTTTCTTTGTTCTTAGTTTTGGGAAGATTGTCTGTGATAGCTCCTGGTATGGCTTTTTTGTTTATCCATTTGAGATTTTCTGACATTCTTCAATCTGTAGGTTTGCGTCTTTTTCCCAGTTCAGGAACTTTTTGGCCATTATTTCTTTGAGTATTTTTTCAGCCCCATCTTCTTCCTCCTCTCCTCCGGGAGGGCTGATGACACAAATGTTAACTCTTGTATTATAGCTCTATGGGTCCCTGAGGCTTTTTTGTTCTTATTATTTTAAATGTTTATTTATTTATTTTTGAGAGAGAGAGAGACAGACAGACAGACAGAGCATGAGCAGGGGAGGGGCAGAGAGAGAGGGAGACACAGAATCTGAAGCAGGCTCCAAGCTCCAGCTGTCAGCACAGAGTCCAATGTGGGGCCCGGACCCAAGAAATGTGAAATCATGACCTGAGCTGAAGTCGGAAGCTCAACCAACTGAGCCACCCAGGTGCCCCTGTTCTTATTAAAGTCTTACCTTCCCTTTTATTCAGATTGGATCATTTCTATTTTTTAATTTTTCAATCTTGCTCATTCTTCGTCTTCTTCATTTAACAGTTGAACTCATCTACTTTATTTTTTTTGTTTGTTTGTTTTTGTGTTTTTGTTTTGAGAGAGAGAGAGAGAGAGAGAGTGAGTGAGGGCAAGCTAGGGCAGAGGGAGAGGAAGAAAGAGAATCTTAAGTAGGCTCGAGGCACAGCTTGGAGCCGGATGTGGGGCTCGATCTCAGGACTGTGAAATCATGACCAGAAATCAAGATCCAGGTGCTTAACCTACTGAGTCACTCAGGCACCCCAAGAATTTTTTTAAAATTTTGATTATTTTTCAGTTCTAAAATTTCCATTTGGTCCTTTCTTCTATTTTCTATTGCTTGCTTTGCTGAGACTTTCCGTTGTTTTCATTTCTTTCAATTCTGCTCATAATTGCTAGGATTTTTACGATAGCTGCTTTAAAATCTTTGCCACAGTTCTAGAATCTCTGTCATCTAGATACTGGCATCTTTCGATTTTTTTCGCATTCAGTCTGAGGAATATATATTTCATTTCTGGTTCCTTGCTGACCAGTAATTTTCTATGGAAACTGAGACTTTTACGTTGTGAGACTCTGGGTCTTATTTAAAGTTTCTGTTTTAGGTGTTTCTTGCTGACAGCACTCTAGCAGGGGAAGGAGGAGAGGGGCCATCTGGTTGCTGCAAACAGGGATAAAAGTCAAGGTTCCTCACACAACCTCCACTGACACCAGAAGGACCCCTTGTTACTGCTGGGTGGGGCTGGGAGTTCTGGCTCCCCACCAGGCTTCCAATGACACTTCCCTGCCTGGAAGTGGTGGAAGCATCTCTCCTTAGGTCCACCGACACCATCGTGTGGCGGGTGGCTCCCTACCACCGGGTATTGGTAACGTCCTGTTTCCTCGTTCTGTTCTGATACCATCACAGTGGGGCATCTCATTACTGCAGGTGGGGGTGGCAGTCCCAGCCCATCACTTGGCCCTTTCTGATGCCATTTGGATGATTGTGAGAAGGGTCTTGGGGACCTCATTACAGCCTGGTGAGGAGGGAAACTCTAGTCTTCCCACTCGGCTTTTATTGTCAGGGGTGAGGGATCTGGCTAGAGGAGAACAATTATTATCTAAAACTGTTCTGTCTAGGGGCACGTGGGTGGCTCAGTCGGTTGAGCATTGGGACACTCGATCTCCACTCAGGTCGTGATCTCACGGTTCATGAGTCTGAGCCCCTCAAGGATCTCTGTGCTGACAGCGTGGAGCCTGCTTGGGATTCTCTTTCTCTCCTTCTCTCTCTGCCTCTCCCCGCCTTGCTATCTCTCTCTCTCAAAATAAATAAAAATAAACTTTAAATAAATGCATAAATAAAAATATTCTGTCTTATCGATCTTCCCCTTACCTGGTTCTGTGGCTAGAGAGAGCAGGTGTTTATTATTGTTGTTCTTGTTTTGACTGGACCCACTGGCATTTTTTTTTTTAACGTTTATTTATTATTGAGAGACAGAGAGAGACAGAGGATGAGCGTGGGAGGGGCAGAAAGAGGAGGAGACACAGAATACAAAGCAGGCTCCAGGCTCTGTGCTGTCAGCACAGAGCCCGACGCGGGGCTCGAATTCACAAACCATGAGATCATGACCCAAGTTGAAGTTGGACGCTTAACTGACTGGGCCACCCAGGCGCCCCTTGGCATTTTTTTGTAAGTTGCTCATTTCTCCAAGCACCCAGTCCGGGATACATGAGGCAGAAGGAAAACCCAAGGAACACACAACCATGTCATTTCTCAAGTCTGGAAGTCCCTAGTCAGCCTGCCTGTTTGTCTCTACATTTCAGATTCTGCATATGTTTGCTGTGTATAAAACATCCAGGGATTTTTGTTGTACATAGTGGAAGGAATGAGAAAAAGTATGTCTAACTCATCTTCCTGGACTGTTTATTTTTTATAAATATGGACCTAA